AAACTGTAGCGGTACGGCACTGAAAAGCAGCACGCTCATATCCTTCCGCAGAGCCAGGCGGTTGGCCAAGCCTCAGACAGGCACACCCATCGGTTTATTGCAGCAGCATAAACCAGTAGGACTATCTAAAACTGAAATATTACCATCCATTTCTTTCTACTTTAGCGGAATGTTTCGCCCAGCCGGTGAATTTGCTGCTGACCAAGGCAAAACAAGCTCAGTCGATGCCGCGACAGGAGACTCACGGAATATGGCAGCCAGCCTGATTGTTTGTGAAGTGAAGCAGCTGTCGCCGGAATTTCACGCCGCGTTTAGCACTCGTCGGAGAGGAAGTGCCATCTCATCGACGTGCGGGTCCAATAATAAAAATCGCTATTCGCCTTCGTGATAGCAAGCGTGTGCGGCACAAATTTACTTAGTAATTTATATTCGTCGTATTTAGCTGCTATTGGATCAATGAAAAGCAACGGCAATGATAAAATAAATGGACACATTAGGTCATATTAATGTGGAGAGAAAACGGGCTACGGTAGAAATTGTTCATTTTGAATGGATTTGCAAATGCTGTGTAGCGGTCGTTACCGAATACTTGATAGAAATTTCAATAGCCTCATCGCAACAGTCAGACCTACTTTTACCACGCATGTAATAGCATTTCAGAGGCACTTGGCTACCGGGATGCATTCCTGATTAGTTTCCAATCTGTACGCTGTCTCGGTCTGCAGTTTTTAGTGGGACAAAATTACACGCAATTAGGCGACTCGCCATACGTCAGAACACATTTTCAGGCCGACCAATCGTGTTCATAGAGCGTAATTTCTGCCAAGGCCAGACAGAAGGCTATATCTAACAGTCAACAACGTTGTTGATACACAAAATTCGCGCTTTGCACAAAATGTCCCACTTCTTTGAAACAGTAGCGGCAGAACACCTTCAATTAACCCTCACCCTGGCAGGGCATTTTTCATAACACGGCCTGGCAGGGGGGGGGGGGGGTCGATGCGACCCCCCTCGCGATTGGCTCCTATGGCACCTAGAAACACCAAATTTGGTAGGTAGGTGGGCCCCCTGGAGTAGAGTTGCAAAGTTTTCCCTATGGGCTGCTACCGGCACCGCCCCACCCCACAAAAATTTTCTGGGATACCGGCATGCTACCACGCCCCAAGCAAAAACACCACCAAATTACCGGCATACTAAAAAACCTGCATTCTTGATTCTGGCTTACCCCTACATGAGATGCCACATTTTGGCAATTTCAGTTACCGCCCCACCCAGCAGCCACCCATTGTCCAACCAAAACTCCAGCAGCCTGATTTTGGCTGAGTTGGCCCCACAAATACCACAATTTTGAAACTCAATTCCAGTTTACAGCTGTTAAAATATCACCTGTAATCAAAGGGTATTGCCTACAAAAAGCCTATACACATTCATCAAAAAAGCAAGGTCAAAAAGAACTTGAATTACTGAAATGTGTTCCTGAAGACTGCACAGTGAGCAGCAATCACATTTACCACAAGCGTTCTTATTTTCCACATTGCCCTAAAATGAACTATAGCTAGTCATAAATCACAATATAAAAAAACTACAGATTTGGCCATGTTCCTAACTGAGGAAGCGAGTTCAACATCTGCTTTTTCCTATCCGCCATGGCTTGTTGGCTCGTGAGTAAGATACGAATCATGTAAAAATATGTGTTAATAACTCACTTGTCCTGAGATGTCACCAAATAATATGTATAAAAACGATATAATATCCTCTCCCATCTCAAACGCGGGAACAAACACAAGGTTATAAAGGATCGAAACAAATGCGCCATAACACAGTTTTTAACCAGCTGATTAAAACACTGCAAAAAAGTTTTAGGACTGCAAACTACTGCCTCGTGAATAGTTTTTTTTTTTTGATAAAAATCATCAAACACGATATTAAAATCCAATAAAATCAACACTGTGAGTGTTATTCACTACAAGAAAATCCACTTTTCTTGAGTGATTTAACCAAAAGGGCATATGAATAAATATTACGTCATCAGCTTACATCCTTTTTTTAGGGGACAGAGGATCTTAAAAGTCAATCCTTGGTTGCTTGATCAGCTGATCATATAGCGCCACTTTGTATTCATTTGGTCTGCATGTTGTGTTTTCTTATAAAGATAAGACAAAATGCCAGTTTAATTCATTTTCATTTCATATTGGGACCGAAGTTAGGCTCAGGGCATCCTAATACCTGCCTTTTCAGCTGGATTTTCAGTGCCAAATTCTTTGTAGAGTATCTCAGACCACATCTCACGACTCAAGGCCAGTTTCCAAACAATGTGTTTTGTGTTTTGATTCTGCCTTTTGCCTAGGGAATGTTGCCATTAACATTTATTTATTTTATTGTATTATACCTATTGCCTACCATTAGACTTACTAATTGGTTGTGCTTTTGCAACATGAATGAGTATTCTTCCTTTGATAATAGACCACAGTAGATTCTTGACAATTCTTATTAGAGCCAAACCTGTGAAATGCTGAGGTTCATATGTACAATTACCCTTAGGCCTTAGCAATGGAACTTCTACCACAAAATGTATTTTGCAGTGGCTAAGATTGCTGTTATTACAATTCAATAAATCAATAGCCTCTTAGTGTCCAAAGTTTGAATCATATGCTGATAATTTTTTTTTTGTGCAAAATCAAAAATACCGGCATGCTACCGGCAGGATATGCCAAATACCACGAAAAAACCTGCGGTAGTGAAAAATTACCGGCATGCCGGTAGTGCGGTAGGGAAATTTTGCAACTCTACCCTGGAGTTCTCACCACTGTGCAAATTTGGTTGCTCTAGGTCAATATTTAGGGGGGTTTTGGGGGGTATAAATGTAAAAATTTCGCTAAAAGCAGGTCACAAGTTTTTCGCTTATAACTTTTGATCTAATTAAGATAGAGCAAAAATAAAAGCACCAGTGAACTCAGCACGTCAAGGCGCGTTGAATCATATACTTTTTAGCTTGCTTAAGTGTATTTAAAGTTTTTCTTAAATTTTAAGTAAACTTAAATTATTAAATTAAGTTAAAGTTAACCAAATTGCATCATATCGCATATCATTCGATTCGGCTGATCACCAGGAACACAATGATACCATTTTCTAAGCTCTAGCGTCATTATGTGCCAAGTTATTAGCAAAAACGTCATTTGACCTCAGTTGACCTCATTTGACCTGACCCATGGACAAGTACACCAAACAAAGAAGCACCAAGTGACCTGCTGTTAAGTACTGTGGTTTCAAAGCACAAAAGTGATAGAACAAAGCGGATATCTCCAGAATTTTCCGAATTTAGTATTTTCCCATAGGCTTAACATTACGACGTAATGACCTCTAACTGACCTCAGGTCAGTGACCTCAAAAACCTGAACTATATGTTATACAACTCGGTGAACTTAGCACATCCTGAAAGTTTGAAGGAAATCAGTCCAAAACTGTGAGTTGGACAGGTGGAAAAAGAAAATTGAAATTTGACCATGACCTTGTACCGGTTTTTCTGGCCTGGTGACCTGACCCAAGGTCACCCGGACCTGAAATTTTCAGGTCATATGTAAAAAGGTTGCCCCATAGGCTGTGCCAGATTTGGCGGCGCTGCACGCCGCCGTTTTTACGGTATCTTCGAAAAACCTTAGGGGTGGGTCGCATCGACCCCCCCCCCCCTGCCAGGGCGAGGGTTAACCCTCGCCCTGGCAGGGGGGGGTCGATGCGACCCCCCCCCCTAAAGTTTTTCGAAGATAGCGCAAAAACGGCGGCGCGCAGCGCCGCCAAATTTGGCACAGCCTATGGGGCAACCTTTTTACATATGACCTGAAAATTTCAGGTCCGAGTGACCTTGGGTCAGGTCACCAGGTTAGAAAAACCGGTACAAGGTCATGGTCAAATTTCAATTTTCTTTTTGCACCTGTCCAACTCACAGTTTTCGACTGATTTCCTTCAAACTTTCAGGATGTGCTAAGTTCACCGAGTTGTATAACATATATTCCGGGTTTTTTGAGGTCACTGACCTGAGGTCAGTTAGAGGTCATTACGTCGTAATGTTAAGCCTATGGGAAAATACTAAATTCGGAAAATACTGGAGATATCCGCTTCGTTCTATCACTTTTGTGCTTTGAAACCACAGTACTTAACAGCAGGTCACTTGGTGCTTCTTTGTTTGGTGTACTTATCCATGGGTCAGGTCAAATGAGGTCAACTGAGGTCAAATGACGTTTTTGCCAATAACTTAGCACATAATGACGCTAGAGCTTAAAAAATGGTATCATTGTGTTCCTCGTGATCAGCCGAATCGAATGATATGCGATATGATGCAATTTGGCTAACTTGAACTTAATTTATTAATTTAAGTTTACTTAAAATTTAAGAAAAACTTTAAGTACACTTAAGCAAGCTAAAAAGTATATCATTCGACGCGCCTTGACGTGCTGAGTTTACTGGTGCTTTTTTTTTTTGCTCTATCTTAATTAGATCAAAAGTTATAAGCGAAAAACTGTTGACCTGTTTTTAGCGAAATTTTTACATTTATACCCCCCAAAACCCCCCTAAATATTGACCTAGAGCAACCAAATTTGCACAGGGGCGAGAACTCCAGGGGGCCCACCTACCTACCAAATTTGGTGTTTCTAGGTGCCATAGGAGCCAATCGCGAGGGGGGGTCGCATCGACCCCCCCCCCCTGCCAGGCCGTGTTATGAAAAATGCCCTGCCAGGGCGAGGGTTAAGGGGGGGGGCACTGCCGACTTTTGGTCCCATTCTTTCCATGCAACGCCCATAGGGCTAATGTTAAAAATGCCCAGATCAAAGGGGGCACGGTGCCCCGGTGCCCCCCCCCCCCCCCCCCCCGTTCAGCCGCCTATGCTTTCAAATATAATCGCTCTGAATACTTGGGCGGCAGGACCTTTGACGCGCTCTGTTCGGCGGCTTTCTCAAATTTCGTCCGCAGTCCTGTGTCTGTGTGACAGTGTCTGCGTTCCTCAGAGGCTCGGCGTGCCCTCTGAGACACCTGAGACCCAGCTGGACTCGCTCCAGCTGAGGTCCTGCCACCGAAACGCGCTTCAGTACGGCTCAATCTGAGGCAGTTCAAGTCTTCGAGATGTCGACGTCACGACGGGTCGCAAAGCTTGCCTTCCTTGCTAAAGGGAAATGATCCTCGTCGTCATACTTCTTGAGCACGACTGTTGAACGGGAAATAGATCAGTACGGTGAGAGCTGAATCGACAGAATGTTTGCTGGTATCTCTCGCCACAGCCGCAGGCTCTTCGCCCTCGATTCAGCCGGCCTCGCTGCCGGCCCGTACGATACGTTCCTGTGCGGCGACTCCCCGAGCGCCGTATTACGCCTGACGGGCAGACTGTACCGCAGCGACGGGAGGACCGGCGGCACAGCCTACCCGGCCAGGGCGCAGCAGTGCGACCACCACGCAACGGTAGGCGCAGGTCGCAGGCCTAGCTGGGAGGCTTCAGTTTTACATCTGTTCAATGCCTGCAATTGTTATTATTTGGAAAATAATGTAGGTATGAGATGAGATTTGAGAAGCCTAAATATGTCCGTCAGCGAATTATAAATAAAACTGAGTTCCTTTTTGGAAAATGTCTTCTGTTTGGTCCGACAACCAAATCAAAAAAAAAAAATTATGAGAATAACGAGCTTCATACCAGAGGCAGATCCAGGTCATAGTTTTTTTTTTTGGGGGGGGGGGGGGGCAAACCATAACAATTTATCGATTCTTTCCATGCCTCGTCCATAGGCGTAATGTAAGAATTATGCCATTTGGGGGGGGCAAATGCCCATTTTGCCCCCCCCCCCCTGGATCTGCCACTGCTTCATACGGCATAACTATTATTGAAATATGACTGATGGCTAAGAGAGCATAAATCCTCAATATATTTGACGAATTTCGATGAACAGACGTTTATTTATTCAAGTCTCGGACACACATTGTTGATTGTTCAACCTTATATCTCAGCGTGTCACGACCAGTGGTGGCGCGCCAGAGACGCCATACCAAACAGTTCCGAAATGAAAACACAGTTGATCTACGATGCTTGAATATTGACATACGACATCCGGTGGAATGGAAAAGTCGTCACACTTCCATTCATCAGCGCTATAGGAGACGGCATTTCTGCTGATGCTCATCAGATTGTTCCGACTGGATTCGTATACTGACGTCGTACTGACGTATACTGACGTCGTACTGACGTATACTGACGTCGTACTCTTCTCATGCCTTAGGATATGGGTGCTTTATTGAATGGTCCTTGTCTGCGAATTGATTAAAATTATAATCTTATTCGACCATTTAAGAGGGCAATATAAGGAGCCATCCTCTGAATGGCTGCGTCACTTCGACCTGTAGTAATTATAGTCAATATTAAACTGTACAATTTTAATATACAAATTGGCGAAGGTTATATCCTAAATCAACCCGATGTCCCCACGCACCGTTGAAGTATGGCGTCAAGCACATCCTAAGAATGTTCCACTTCTTGTCATAACTAAGATTGGGCAAGTGTAGCCAGTGCAGCATGAGAAACCGACTCGCGCTTTGCAAGTCACAGCCAACGGTTTTATTCTGCCAGCAAAGCCACAGCTGCGTATCCGACACATTCCGTCAAATTTATGTGGAGCCAAGCCCGAGAAAGCTAGCCGCATTCCCGCATCAAACGCTGCCAAACGGCCTGAAAGGCTTGGGTACTGTCTTGGTAACATCGATCGAACAATATATGTTGGATTTTTTTTCAGAATCCTAGAGCCACCTCTCGTCATTTGCGCGGCCCGTTTTTCCCGATATCACGGTGCTGAGCATCACGTGCGGCAGTTTGATTGCTCCACTGGGCACCCGATAAGATGAAGGAGGGCCCCCCAAGGTCTCGGGGAAGATTTAGGGCGGTCGCCGTCAGCATGCAGTGAAACCATGTTCACGTCGGTGTGACAAAGGCAGGTTAGTCTCCGATAAGTCGCGGTGAGGGGTGTTGCCCATCTCCGAGTTTCTACAATGCATACTACGGCTGTTAAATAAGTTGCAGCATGTAGCATTCTTTTTGCATTTCATTATCAGTTCAGTGGCCTTGATGATTGACATGATTGCTCGGAATGGCCTTGTGACCAATTATCTACCTGCCTACCTATGGTATGTCATTCAGCGACAGGTGGCATGGGACGTTTGGCGACAAATGAAGTCAGCCGAATGTCACTTCCGCAATAGTTATACCTATGCAAAACATGTAGGCAGCCATCCAGAAGTACAGATAAACATGCCAGCCTGATAAAGGCCAAGCAAATGCCGCCTTTGAATCAAATTTGCTTTATTTTCCTCTTAGTTACGAGACTTATTTGTGGGTTATCTACTTCCCCCACCCCACCCTGCAACCCCACCAGTCAAACTCGCTGTCACAGCCCGGCACCCGTGCCGACCAAGTCCTCCTGCAGCGGCGAGGGAGGTGCAGATTTGGCGCCGCCATGTTCCGAATTCAGCGCAGCGCCAGCTAATTGGCTTAATGGGCCGGCTGAATGGTAAACAGCAGCTGCGCTCAGCGTGACAATCGCGGCGCACTGCCGCGCCAGCCGCCGCCGCCGCCGTGTCTAAACAGCCACCAGAGGTGCGGCAATTTTGCGCCCACGCCGCGCCGAAAGAGACACCAGAGGTGCGACAGTTTCGGAACAGTGAATTTGCTCACGATAAAAAAGAGATATAGGGGAGAGTGGGGCGCATTCGTGGAAAAAATCCATATATCTGTTCTTTGGTTAGTGCAACGGCAAAATTGTTGATTGTATTATGGAAAGGAACTATTGCAGATATTTTTCCTCTTTAAAAGTTACCCTCTAAAATTATTGCTTCTTTAAAAAAATGCTTTTTAACAACTCTTAATGCACGAAACTGACCCAACTATGGGGCACTTTCGTGCATGGGATGGGACACTTCCGTGCACCCTGCAAAGTTCGAGCAATTACCGGGCATTACCAGAAATTTACCAAAAGAAATTGGCAGGGGTCATCTCACTTTACTCCTTTCGACAAGAATGCATTGCACAACATACATATTAGAAAGAATGGGCTGGCCAACAAGAATGTGCCAACTGCGGCCTCCGTGACCTCGCCAAGGTCGCGTGAATTACTTGTCACGACGTCGCAAGCAGCCGAGGCTGAGTCAGGCGAGGTGTCATTAGTAAAACCTACTACAGATAAAGTCATTAATCGCAAAAACGAAAAAATATATGCACGAATGTGCCCCTTGGCAGTGCGTACACGAACCTGCCCCACAACGTTATTTGTAATATATTTCAAATTTCTTGTTGAAAAATGACACTTTTTCAACAAGCAAGTTTGCAGCGGTTGCGTGAATACAGTGAGCTTCTTTGCCCCCAATTTTGAAAAGCTGAACCACATTTCCGAGTCACGATCACGAAAATGGATGATATGAGAAAAACAAACGAACGAATAAGCCCCATTCACGAATGTGCCTGCAAAAACCTGCACTCTCCCCTATATTGGGGTGGTTGGGATGGACGTTACCTATCCCGTATGAGCATAATCCCAAGAAGTGAAAACGACATATCTCAGGCAGCTTTTGCAAAATTGTCAGGGAGCTCAGATTTGTTTTTCAATAGAAAAAACAATTCTAAAGAATAGAGTTTTAACTATTGACAACAAACCTTCGGTTAAGGTTAAAAACCTGAAGCCTTGATTCCATACTTCTACGCTATCTACGTTATTCCATGCGCGTATAATTGCATCATGTTCCTATTCAGAATCGTCTGAATAGCGATGACCTTCATCGAAATACGATTCATATTCCGAATATCGATTACCTTGAGTGCACATAAACATTCGCGTTCTGATCGACGCTCGTATAGAACAGTTCACGATAAGGCTTTCAAAAAGTTTGGAATAGGTGCCAAAATGTTCCTCGCAGTAAGTAAACGCATTTTCAAGCTTTAATTCTGACTTCAAACCCAATCTTTGTTTCGGAATTTAACGTCAAAAGTCGGGATAGATACCACACTGCCCTTAATTTTCTTCTGATTGCTTTCTTAGAGGTCTCTTTGTGTTTAAAACCTAAAGGGCCATTGAGAATGACCCTGATCTGTGACCTCTAACTTCATCTTGACCCCTTCATGAAAGGTCAAAAGTCGGGGTACCGCATAAGTGGCCTTAATTTTCGTCTGATCGATTTCTAAGTGGTCTACATATAGGTATGTGTTCCTCTCCTAAAGGACGATCGCGGATGACCCTGACCTGTGACCTCTAACTTGACCTTGACGCCCTAATCGTGGGTCAAGGGTCGGGGCCTACTGAATACCTAAGTGACCTGATTTTTCTTTTTTTTATTGTTTTCTTAAAGGTCTCTGTGTGTTTCTTGCCTAAAGGACCATCGAGGACCCTGATATCTATGCTTAAGAAGATATAAATTATAATATAGATAACAGAAAACGGGAGGGGCAAATTTCGCTTTCCAGCGAGGCGCGGACCCGGCCCGCGACCTGGACCTGGAGAATTGCCTTGCATGCTAGAGCGACTTGCGAGGCGATGCACAGTGGGGATTTTTCCGATCTAGCGCCTATTAATTCAAAAAATATTTTTTGGATTTTGGTTTATTTTTTGTGTCAGTAGGGCTAAGAAATGTCTGAATTTTTCATATATGGCATTGTTTTATCTGTATGTCCACAGCAAAACTAGGAAAAATGCGCCCAAAGTTCACACTCATGCGTGATTACTCAATGGGCTCAGCAAGGCCCGAAAGTATAGCTCAATTTCATTGTCCTGTCCTGTTGGTTTTAATCTTGCGAGGTCTTAAAATTGCATATCGTCTGAAAGGCACCTTTATTAGGAATGGAATGGCAAACAGAAAGTATGCCACAACCTTACTAAGGTCACAAAAATGCCCTTTACAAAAAAAACCCTTACAGACACCATATTGAAGGAATGGTATTCTAAATAAATGTAGGAAATCAACAATGTTCTCCACACTTTTCCACTCCGAAATATATCCTATCGAATTCGCCACTTTCTTCTGCACAAGACAACGCCTAGTTTGGCTGCCGGAACTTGCCTGAACACGGAATATTCACAACACCCCACTCGAGGAGCGCTCAGTGGCGGCGGAAGCGGGGGGGCAGCGGGGGCACGGCGCCCCCCCATCTCCCAGGGTGGGGGGGCAAACATATCTTTTTGCCCCCGCAAAATTGTTTTCGATAAAATACCACAATGCTTCGATACTACGTCATGAACGTATGCCAGTTTGGCTGAGTACGTTTTTAATAAGTTGATAGTGCGAGTAATTTAGATTTATATTGTTGCCAGGCCCAATGTCATAGTAAACATTTTGATTTGATTGGCTAGCATTTTGCAACGCGAGTGCTACCAACCAAGAAGGTTTGCAGTAATTGGCTAACTCGAATGACGTCATTGGTTCAAAGGAAACAAGTTGTTCTGCCTTCGAATGTGGATGCGGCAATTGTGGCAATCGAAAAATCGCGGGGATAGCGCCCCCGATGTACCTATATGCCTAGTGGGATGGAGTGGTCAGTGGGCTGTGCATTGTGAAATATTGTGATTTAGGGCATCGGAATGTAGGTATTGTAAGGTCATGCCTGTATTGACAAGACCGCGGATATCGACGCTGACCTGCTAGTGGCCCAGCTGAGGTGTGCTCACGCTAGTGGACTTCTCCGCAATGAGACTGGTTCGGTTGCCGAACTATGTGAGACTTTCTTTGGAAAGGGTGAGGTGGTGAAGGGGATGGTCAGCGAGGTACTTAAACTAGCGCAACTCATCATGACTGTGCCGATGTCCGCAGCGACAGCTGAAAGATCGTTCTCAACTTTGCGCAGAATCAAAACCGACTTGCGCTCCACAATCGGCCAGAAGCGACTGTGCAGCCTCATGCTTCTAAGCCTCCATGAGGATATAGCGAAAGGTCTGGACCCTGAGCTCATCCTATCAGAGTTCGTGCGCAACCATCCCCAGAAAAGAGTGCCAGTGTTCGGGGCATGGTAGTTGATGGCTGCTCCGCGTCACTTTAGTGTATGTGATGCAGTGCATGGGTGTATGTGATACACGTTTGTCTGGTCTCTGGCGAATAAAAGTTTAGCTTTCGCTATATTCTCGAAAAGCCGCAAAATATCCTGGATTTCGGGCGACGCGGGGGTAGTTGCCCCAAATGCCCCCCCCCCCCTGGATCCGCCAGTGGTGTCAGGTGGCCTACCATTTATAAAAAAAATATATATATTTAAAAAAATATCGTATCAGGGCTGTGACGAAAAGTAAGTGGCCTAAATCCGATGAGAAAACAGGATTTGCGGGTACCCTAGGTTTGTCTCCGTAGCCCCCTCCCGCGCCCAAGCCCTGGATCCGCCAGCGGTGCCCCCCCATCCCAAATTACCTTCCGCCGCCACTGGGAGCGCTAGGGCAAACAGCACGATATAGGTATGTTTCGGACATAGGCGAATAATTTTACTTCGTGATTTATATGATGCATATTTTCTGAGACACATTCATTAGGAATAGGATGACAAGCGTAAATTATACATACCGTAACCTTATTAACCATAGCACTTGTGGGGAGGGGGAGGGGGAAGGGGTCGGATAAAACCCCATGGTTTTCCGCAAATTACTCGCGCAAAAAGCGGCCGATCGCGCCGAAACTTTCGGTACCCTCGAGATCATCAATTTTACATCTAACCTAAAAATTTCATGACTCTGACCCAACTGACCTTTGACCTGTGGCATATTTCTCGAGACCATGTTTGGCCGGAATCGCGATTCGGCGTATGCCAGCTCACATTATCCGCGGTTTCCAGTCTTTTTGTGGTTTTAAACGTTCAAATATGTGAAATGATGTTGGTGCCATGCATAATGGTGGGTGTCAAGGTCACGTGAAGGTCAAGTCAAGGCCATTGACCTTTTGATGACCTTGGTTCACTTTTTCGAGTTTTACTTGTTTCTAGGGTAGTCTTTGGTGCTGATTTCGATTTTAGCAGCCATTTGAATATTTACGAAGTAGTTCTAGTGCCTTCGTTCCATGTTACGAAGCTATCAGTAGTAGGTGACACTTCTATGGATGGCCGGCAGGACGCCTACTAATTGATCTAACCTGACCTGACCCGACCTGGCCAGTGGCCTAAATGCATAAAGACATCGTCTGTGATCAAAACTAACATGACATTCGTGATCAGCACCCCAAAATACCCCGTAACACCCTAACTTTGCGAAGTTTCAAGAGGTCTCGATTTCCCAACTTTAGTTAGGTCATTAAACTGACTTGGAAAGTCAGCTTATGACCTTGGACTTTGAAATTAGATATATTCGGCCTAATGTCGTCATAGGCAGCACGCTTGACTTTTCCGCGAAGCTCTAGCTTGATCAGGGGCCAAACGGCTGAGCGGGGGGTCCAATTGAACCCCCTATATATGTTGATTATGCACATTTACAGGTAAAATTCTCACCAGGACACACCAGCCAACATCTGTGCACAATCTGGCTACAATTCTACCTATGGTTTGCCCCCTACGAATAAATACGTGCTAGATCGGAAAAATCCCCACTGTGCGATGCGGGGCGTTGGAGAAGGGCACTCGTGTGAAGTGGCACGCATTATGCTGCCCTGTACTATGCATTATGCCGCCTATGCGAAATTAAATAATATGTGGGTAGGTAGGTATATGAAAGAGAAATGCGGTTTAAAAATTTTACACTTATGTCCCATATGGAAGCAGGAATCCTTCATAATGTGATCATGAATGAAGGAAATCGTAGTTGACGTTCAAGGCCTTCACTTACACGTACGACCTAAACATAGCGGTGATTATGCGAATACGTGATACAATTTTAATTTCTATTCACAGCAGTGGGTCATGATTAGCATCAAACTCAAGGCAGCTTGTACAAAACATTTTAGCATCTCCATAGTGGCGGACCGGCGGCCGACCACTGCGCATTCTCCCCACTATTGATTTTTCACGCGCTGGCCCGACTGCGACGATCAGCGACAAATACGATCCGAAAGCTCTGAAGTGCTGCTGTGTTCTGTTTCAAGCATTGTTTGATTGTATCTTGTATCTGTTTATATCAGTATATTAAGTAATTAAGTTGTTTTGCTGATTATTCTTGGTTTGTTGTCAGTATCGTTTGGGAATCTGCAGTCCTCTGCCGTTTTCTTCGTTCATACCGATCGTCTAGCTTCAACCGGGCCACGTACTCACGTAAGCTACCTATCTATCGCCTGAGTCTGCTTCTTTTTGCTTTTATTATTATTTCCTATGTTTATCAGTGCCTCAATATGACACAGCCTGCAAATGATGCTTCAAAACCAGCACGCTCGACCAATAACGGGTAAAGAAAATGTGCCATCTTTCCTAGCATGATCATTGATCCTACCCACCTTTCTCGTTTTTAGAACGGCGACAACAATTTTATGAAAAAGGCCATACAAGTTCGAGTGGGCTAATCGGGCTAGCTACCAGCGGGCTAATCATATGTAGTAGCTTCAGGCTCATGATTTTCAACGAGTTACTTATGAGCGAAGTATGAGTAGTTAATGATAAATAACAGCGTGTATACCTAATGTTTCGGGACAGCGAAAAATGGGGTCGCTGCGTGAAGCTGAAAATAATGCAATTAAAAAAATCAGTGGCATGGCTGGGGCCCTTGCAGCGAAATAATAAAATCCTTTATTTCGGGGTGGCGCTTGATATTGTTTAGGTAGGTAATTCGCGAGATAAGTAAGCATTTAGTGCCATTTTGACGATGTATCGGTTTTGTGACCTTGTGACCTGAACTGGGTTCACTTGAACTCAAACATCATAGGATAGGTGTTAAATAAATGCCCCAAGTTATGTTTGAAATTGGTGGCTCTATTGCCTCTATGTGCCATGGATCACACGCTGTTAACGAAAAACTCTGTGATTGCGATGCCGCTAAATTAGTCAAATTTTACCCTAACCTTGTACCGTTTTTTTTTTTTACCTGGTGACCTGACCTGGAGAGACTGAGACCGGAAATTTTCAGGGACGGCGTGAAAAGGATGCTTGGCAGCGCTACGCCCACGCCGTTTTTAAGCTATTTGCAAAAAAAAAAAACTTAGGGGGTGCTGCATCAACCCCCCTGGCCTGGCGAGGGTTAATCCTCGCTCGCCGGCACAGGCCATTTTACGTCCTTCGACGGCACAGGGGAGGGGGTGGTACGACGCCCCCTCGCGTTTGGCCCCTGATCGAGCTAGAGCTTCGCGGAAAAAACGAGCGTGTTGCTGCCCGTCACGAGAGGAAGTCGATGATACCCAATTTGAAGGTCCTAGGTCATCGGTTGACCTTGCAGGTCAGGTCAATCACCCAAAAGTCGGGAAAATCGGGACCTATTAGAAAGTTGCAAAGCGTGGTTGCTATGTTTTTTTTTTTCGGGGTGCTGATCACGAATATTGTGTTAATTTTGATCACATTCACAGATGATGTCTTTAAGGATTTAGACCAGGTCGGGTCAGGTCGGGTCAGAGCAGTTCAGGTCAACCAGTAGGGGTCTTGACGGGTATTCGTAGTAGGTACGTACGTGTCAACCGCCTCTGACAGCTTCGCAACATATTACGAAGGCACCAAAACTATTTCGTAAATGTTCAAATGGTTGCTAAATTCCAATTCGGCTACAAAACCTGGCCAAGATATTTTAAAACTCGAAAAAGTGATCCGAGGTCATCAGAGGTCAATGACCTTGAGGCTTGAACTGACCTTCAATGGCCTCCTGTAAGGATTTTTATTGGGGGGGGGGGGACAGAGGCTCAAGGTGCCAAACTAGGGCACCCCTAAATCCTATTTTCTTATCGGATCTATAAGGTCACTTATTTTTCATCACAGCCCTGATACGGTGAATATTTTCTTTTTTAATGGAAAAAAGGAGAAGTGATAGGGCTTCCAACCCAACTGGCGGATCAAGGGGGAGGGGGTATTTGGCCAATTATTCCCCGCAGCGCCCGCAATGGATGAAAATTTGCGGTATTTCAAGGTAAACGAAAAGCTCTACTAGGAAAAGTTGTTAGTATTACATTTTTGCTGACACCGAGTGTCTTCCCAAAACCTTTTAAAGTCACTTTGACTGAGTTTCGGACAGAGAAGCTACTGATTCCGCCGCACATATTAGCCGTTTTCAGACGGCCATCTGGTACACATTTGGCGCACATCTGGTGCAGATTAGGTGCAGATTTGGTCAAATTAGGTTCAGTGTGTCTCTTAGTAGCTATCAGCTAGGGTTGCACTATTTGCTTATATGCCTGCTTTGTCATATCATCAGAGAGTATCATCGATTAAAACACTGAAATAAATTCATAAAATACAGATACCTATTTGCTGTAAAAGAGATTAGGTGCAGACTTGGTCAAATTAGCCGTTTTCACGACGGCCATCTGGTACACATTTGACACATTTAAAAGAAATTAGGTGCAGATTTGGTCAAATCAGGTGCATTCGCCGGATAGACCGTCGTGAAAACGACTATAGGTGCACTCACCGGATAGCCCGTCGTGAAAACGGCTATTATATATAAGCCTCGTCTGTCGTCATACTGAATAGGTACAGATATGAGATACCCCAGAATTTGACCTTTGACCTAATATTGACCCGACAGCTGACCCCAATGCTAAAACCCTATGAATGATTTGGGAAGGTCTTGTCATCAGAATTTCATTTGCAGGTGGTAAGGATCCATGCCTACGGTTTATGACCTGCAAGTTTCAGACAAATATATTTAACCGCTTGGCCTACAGCACGTCGCAGACGTGTAAGAAGTAAGAACTCCTTGTATGTCTATTGCACGTGCAGCGTGCACCCCATATTTATACATGCCCTCTCAGTCTCACTGACTCTCAACATTCCTTACTGAGCACACCTCCGCTACCTAGAGATATAGTGGGCGCAATCTAGTGATCTACTTAAAAAGTCGCTAAATTGCATCTGGCATCATGGGGAGCAGAGGCCTTCGTCCATGCCAACACAGATAAAATTATTTGAAAAGTTAAAAAGCATTAGGATACATGATTGTCATGACAACTACCTGACAGGCTTTCCTTGCCTTGTTATACTTGTGCAACGTTCCAGTAACGGTAACGCTGGCTTGCACTTTTTCTTGCCGCCGGTGGGATTAGAACCCGCGATCTCAGTCTTCTCACAGAGCTCAAGACTAATTGTCACGCACGATCTTCCCGCTCCGCAAATCATTGTTCTTACATCGATAGAAACCTCTGCATCGACAGTGTGTGTGTGACGTGATACTACTGCCTGCCGTAAGCACCACTACCAGAATAAACATAACCTTGAAACTTGGTGCCAATGAGAAGATGTAAGACAGCGCCACCATAGGCGGCGGAACGGGGAGGACACCGGGGCACCATGCCCCCCTTTGACTTTGTCATTTTTACATAAGCCCTATGGGCGTTGCATGGGACCAAAAGGCAGTGACCCCCCCCCCCCTTACTTGAAGGTGTTGCGCCGCTACTGAGCGCTACCGGACACCGGTACGGGCGGTACCGGATACCCAACGTTCCGCCGGTTCGGCATTATCTTGCTAAAATTTGCCACACAATGCAATTTATGTCGTGCAACTGCAGACCACTATAGGGCATTGCACCCATTCGGCACCAAGCTCGGCACTCACCGGAACGGAACTGATTTTGCAGTTGCAGGACATGCTTGAAAATGCAAGCGAAATTATTCAGCATTATTTGAGAAATAAAATGACATTCCTACTTTGCTAAATAATTGTAACAAATTTTTTAAAACTTTTCTAATATGTAATGACATTTTACAACATCGTAAAAGAAAATGCTCTTGATATTGTTATATTCTGCTCTTCGAGTACATAATTGCTTGGGTATCAAAAAAATCTGTTTGCATGGGCAGTACGGCCACGGGAACCGTCGTCAGATTGGTCGTCACGCAAGTCGTCACGTTGACGTTAGTAACGAGATTGTAGGTAAATATTTGTTGCTTGATTTGTGTTGTGGGCATTGCAGGTGGGTATTTGTGTTTTGCAGTGAATTTATACTGACTATGATGGAAAGTACAAATAAGAAACGAAGTGTGAGTGTATTGTATAGTTTTGCACTGTTCCATGCTCGGTGTTTTTGTTTTAGCATTTTGAATTCTAATGGAATGGGGAATTCGAATAAGAATTAGGAACGAAGAATGTTCACCTATGAGCATGTATGTGCTTTAAAGGGTAACATTAGATTTGAGTTGAGATAGCCAAAATGGGGTCCCTGGCTCACAATTACCGGTTTCGGCACTTACAACATCGAGAAATGCCTTAAATCGGAAATATTGAATTTCAAAATTGCAGCGTTTTGATTCAGAGGGGCTGATGCTTTTGAATACCCCTCTGAATGTGTGACGTCAGCGGAGATCTAACGATTTTTAAATATTTTACTATAACGTTTGGTAGCACGCGGTGGTATAGGCTGCTTTGCGCGCAACAAATGCCGCACTTTCAAATAAAGTCGCAAGGAACAGCGGATATCCCAAAAAGTACATAAACAAAAGTAAAAGTCTAATATCTTGAAACCGGTGAATATTTTTCGATAAAATTTGGTAGATCTTCGTTTTCGCTCTTTCTAAACCTAGCGGCACCACTTTCATGCCAATTCATTAACTTTTTTGAAGGTGGGAGGGTCCCTTTAATGGAAGTAACTCACGTGCGGTTGGAAATGTAGGTACGTACCTATTTCATTTTCCATCGCGGAAAGACGATGTCTTGTGTAGCCGTGTCCGGCGACCCCATTACGGGGATTCCCCGGGTTGAGTCGATCCCATGTTTTATTCGGGTATCGTCCGCGGGTGCATTCACGCCTGCTAGCACCTCGTACGAACAGCTACCACCAGCCCGGCGCGATGGAGAGGGGACCAGCGATATGAAACTGGCGATTGCCAAGCGCCGCCGCTTCCATCGCCTCAGTTCAGTTCCTGACAGCCACCCGCCATGGCTGTGCTTTCTACCCATAGCCTTGTGTGCACCGTTCCACCGATCGAGCGGGGTCTGACCGTCGTGAGTCGTGAGTGTTGACCCCGCCCTGTCTGTCCTGCACCCGTCCTGTGTCAGTGTGGCGTCACGGCTGCCCTGAGCATGTCACTGAGCTGTTGCACCGCTACCCCGCAGATCCAGCCGCCTCTCTCCTGTCCTTCTCGCACCTCCGTCCGCCGGTCGTGAAGATGTCTGGCAGATTCGGCAGGCCGTCGCCGTGTAAGACCCCGTTCACCCTGGTCTCGGCGAGAACTCCTTACGCGCCTTGTCCGCACTTCGGCTCCAGAGGTAGGTGGATCCTGCCTGCATCATTGCTAACTGGGGGTGCATCCAAGGGTGAATCCCCGGCGGCTCTACATTTAGCGCCGCAATAAGTGGGTGAGCGGCCTGTCAGCGCATCCGTCACATTCGGTATTCACGGGCGACGTGACGTCAGAGGCGGACGCGCCTCACATTAAAGGGACCCTCCCACCTTAACATTAGTTTTGAGTTGAGATAGCCAAATTGGTGGCCATGGCCTGAAAATACCGGTTTGGGCATTCACAACATCGAAAAATGCTTTAATTCGGAGATATGGAATTTCAAACTTGCAGTTTTCGGATTCTAAGGGGCTAATGCATTGGTATGCCCCCTTAGAATTTGTGACGTCAGCGGAGATCTAACGATTTTTAAATCTTTTACTAAAACGTTTGGCAGCACGCGGTGGTATATGCTGCTTTGCGCGCAAAAAATGCCGCACTTTCAAATAAAGTCGCTAGGAACAGCGGAGATCCCAAAAGTAAACACAAGTAAAAGTCTAATATCTTGAAAACCGGTGAATATTTTTCGATGAAATTTGGTAGATATTCATTTTTGCTCTTTCTGAACCGAGTGACATCACTTTCATGCCAATTCATTAACTTTTTTGAAGGTGGGAGGGTCCCTTTAACCCGCTCCCCTGTCCCGGAGAGGCTGTCGGAAGCACGCGACTGCAGCCGACTGCCGCGACTTCGCTCCAACCCAATTGCGGCAAAACTTCTTACAACTTGGTGCTTTCCATAACCGCGCAACACTGGAAAAAGAACGTCAGAAAAAAAGCGTGGATAGCGTACCGAGCAGTCGGTTCGGGCGGTGGTTGTCATGGTGACGGCCGCTGATTGGCCGGGCCCGCCGGCTGCGCGCGCCGCCGGCGGGTCAGCTGCGCGCCGCCGCCAGGCAGGAGCCCGTCCCGCCCGCTCCGCCGGCCGTCCGCCGCCCCTCAGTCCTGTTGAAACGCCGCCAGTCGCCGGGCGTGCTCTCGCGCACGGGTGTTCAGTTCCAGTTTTATTCGGTTTTACTGGTCGCTTTTACCTGAGTTTTCGTCTCAGTTGCGAGGTAAGCATCTTGATGCTCCTGCCGACCAACGCCGTGCGGGTCTGAGTGTTTATTTCTGGTTGGTTCTGTATCATACCATTCCATGGATCGAGTTCAACAAGAGGAGGCGGAGCATGCCAGCCTCTCGTATGCCAGCCTGACAGGCAGGTGCCCTCTGGTATTTCTCGGCGGCGCGGTTCGACCGCTGGGTGACGGGACGGGCGGGCCGCGGGTCGCGGGCGGGGTGGATAGTGGGATGAGTGGCCCATATGGCGGGGCGGGTGCATAGTGGGACAAATGTGACGTTTTTGGCTAGGGGTAGGTTATAATTAATTAATGGTATTATAATGAATCGTTCATGTTTTCCGGGACAGATGACGCAGGATTTGGGTCACCAGTTGTTTTGAGAACATATTGCCCAAAATATGTTTAGATTAAAGATTTGTCTGAACTGCTAGGGTACCGTTGAGTATTAGCACATTGAAGGGACTGTTTGCCTACAACGATGTCCATTGTGCTTGTCCGTCTCGCACATGTATTGTATTGACATTGATGTTGATGCCCCGGCACTCCTGGCCCTCCCAGCCCGCATTTTCCGAACGCACAATCGCCGAGCCTGTGTCTCTATGTGTGCGCTTGTGGTTTCATTTCCAATTAGTGTGAAGTGAACAGAGTTTGAGAGTGCCCGTGTGGGCTGGTGTGTGTCAAATGTGTCCATTAGGGCGGGTCGATGAAAAAAGTTTTCAAGTGAAGAGCGATTTTCCTACGGGCTGATCCATAAAACGGTTAAAACATATTTTTTGCGAATTTTTGAAAAGGAACTGGGCGCGCCGTCCACGGTTTTTCGAGACCACTTTTGCTAATTTTTCTCGTTGTTTGCAAAATTTAGTAGGAAAAAATCGAGAAAGATACTATATTTACCACTTTCCTAGTTCTACATGCTTACCCCCACCTCTTCACAAAGTTTGGAAACCCCAGTGGCAGAATCGTGCTCAGAATAGCGATTAGCATCGGCGATCTGAGCGCAACGAAACCAGCGCCATCTATTGAGCGAGTTTGGCATAACATTGGTTTTGACGGCTTTCCGACCGTTAAAAGCTGACGCAGCCGCTGCCAGGGTATATTGCCGCTGCCGCGTCGGGTATATGGTGTTCTTTGGTGTTCCTAAGTGTCTGGTGTTCCTTATTTGACACTAGGTGAGTTGTACCCATTCGATCCATATACTAAGTTGCTCCGGAAGCTATGTGATTTCGCCAAGAAAACAGCGAGATGCTTAACTTTGATATATGTTTATCAGTTAAATTAAGTTTTGCAGACAGATAAAATCAGTCCAAACCGTATGATCATTTTTGAATGCAATGTAGCCAGCCACCTTACCGTCCTAGGACAGAAAATCACACTTCGATAATTGATTCAAACGCCGGCATGAGAGCGCTGCATTGCGTCCTGATGGCACACATGATGTAACTGAGACGTGCTCTCTTAATAACAACAGCGTATGCTGCCTAAGTTAGGAGCCGGACGGCTCGCTCCACTGCCTGAGTAGTGAGTATGGGTATGCACCGGATCGAAATTAATTTGCTAAGCAGCGGGTCGAAGGTCACCCTCGTCCCTCTTCCAGCGAGATTGCTATTGGTGACTCTGTAACGCGTTTTTTGGACCGATCTATGAGCTGCATGTAGTGCATGACTTGTTTATTGCAAAATGCTGATAGAATCGCATATCTTTGTCTCCTGCCTCATTCACTTCTTATACTTTTTTGCCGTAAGTGTCTCGAGTCTTTTTATCACCATTCCTTAGTTCAGCAAGCATCGCAGCGTATGCACTGTTTGCTGGCTGTCTGTATCGGCTAGTGGCAGTCCAAAAAAGTTTCCTATAGTGAGCCCGGTACTTATTCCTGTCGATCACTGGGCAAATGACACAGACCGATGAGCTGAGAGGTCTCGCAATAGCGGGATGCTTTGGAGTAATCCGTCTCTGCAATGTTTACTCCGTAATTTCGGACCACATTGGGACATAGTGAACTACATTGAACTCGGTGATAGTTCGAAGCTGGTCAATATATGTTGTATGATGGGCGATCGCGACGGAATACGTAACTTGCAAGCTGCCAACGTAAGCCATTTTACCAAATTCAAGGGCTCAAGCTTACTTACTGACAGCTACCTCAGGATTTGTCAAGAGGTGAAGTCTGCTTCCGGGCTGTTCAGAAGTGTTCTCTGATCTGGACTGCATGGCGTTGCCCGAAACGGCACGAACGGTTCCTGCTCGATGCACAGGCACTCTTAGTAAATGGTCCACTGATCGGCGCGGCTTTAGTCCAGTGGCTTTTCCACAAGTCTTGTAAACTTGTTTAATAATTTGGCCCTTGTCTGATTTTGGTGTAAAATAGAATAAGCACTGACTACCGGCTCATTTACTGAAGCAATATGCTCGTCCAGCAGGCTCGTCCTAGCCGATGATCCAGCACGGCTATCCTATTTATCATGATAAACGACGCATCCTTATGCACGTAAAATGCAGAAGGGCATTTCCTTTGTAATCACTTGCCTATCCGAGAACAGAATGTGAAGTGTCACCGAGGACCACCACGCGGCATTAGTTCCGTTTCGACATGGAGGCTCCTTTCCACTAACTGCAACAATGTCACATGATTGGGATCACAAATTGCGCCGGCGACCGCTTAGCAGCTACTACTGCGGTTATTATGAGGTCAGTTTCCCTCAAAGCTCGATGCTCCACTGCTTGTTGCGGTGGCCCAGCCCCAATAGGTCATCAAAATGGGATCTGATGGTCCGATGAGAACGCGCGACTCGGGCAGTGATATGATACGCGGATCGCCGATCAGCAGGATACCTCGCAACTCATCCTCAGTCTGCTGTCAGATGAAGCCGGGCTAACTTAGTACTTATTCTGCAATTGAGCTGCTACTGTTCAATTCTAACACTAGGTTTGCATTAAAAAAGGTTAAATTTACATGCAAGAAATCGAAGCCAAAACTGAAAATAATGCTGCTGAAGTCTCAGCGCAGAATTAAATGACTAATAGGTCCAGCGGACACTATCGCACTTGGCGATTAATGGCTGTGCTAAAGTCAGGTGAACCCCTAATATGTAAATTTCATGGCTAATTTAATTGCAATTGACAGCTTTCACGCTATATACGCTCCTGTGCCTCACGTTTTTTCATCAGCGTCCTAAGATCGCATCAGCAGAATGCATACTGTCTCGACCGACGCAAGGTTAACAGTCCTCTCAAGAGATGGCGCTGCGATCGAGTTGCGGAAAACCGATACAGAGAGCATGGCACCATGGCCACAGTTAGAGAGATACAGCCAACAGACTTACAGAATAGGTTGAGGAATAGCTGAAGTTTCAAGGTATATATTTGAAAATAATTAATTACATGATATTTGTGCTCAAAACTCGCGTGCAGTGAAAATGTAGCGAAAAACCCGGTCGATTAATTGGCTGCGGCGACCCGCAACCTCAACCAAAAAAATTGAAAAAATTCACACAGTCTTCTTGTGACATGCTCCGTAGGAATTTCGGTCTTCATTTTGTGTCCTCGAAAAAAAAAGTTATCGGATGACCCGCCCTAGTGTCCATGTTTGGTTTTGAAGGTGTGAATGTCAAATTGTCATTGGTGTTTTTTCATGCCACAGTCAGCCTTCTAAAGGCCTGGGAGTGGGCACACTATGCTTTTTCTGTGTGCGTTTTTTTGCGAGTTTGCGTGATTTGCGTAATATCGTTCTAGAAAGAAACGACATAACGTTTTTGTTATGTTTTTTCATATAAACTTTTAATTAATATAAAAGTTTTATTAACTTTTAAGTAAGTGTTAAAGAAGTTATATAAGTTATAACTTTTTTCTAGAACGATATTACACAAATCACGCAAACTCGCAAAACACGCACGCAGAAAACGCATAGTGTAGCCAGGCCTTAAAAGTTCCCA